GAGCTGAGGCCTGGAAAGTTTGATCTCTACTTGTCACAAAGTTTGTTATGTAGCTAGTCTGTTGTATCAATTTTCTGGGTATTAGTAGTATTGTGATATAGCCAGAAGGCAATGTGTGGTGGGCCATGTTAAAAAGCTCTAGAAACAACTAATTGCATAAACTCTCTGACAGTTAATTTTTTGAGAAAATAAAATGGAAGTATAGGTGTTCACTATTAGGGATCATTGCATAGTGCAGTGGTAAAACCCACGAGCTATAACCTATAAGGCACAAGGTTGTGGGTTCGAAAAGGGCTTTCATTTTATCAAATAATGCCAAGGGATCAGTCTATATCCAATCCACTGCCAACTCCTAGCATCTCCCATTAACATAAGCTAAAAAAATTGGGTAATAGCTTTTTCAGATATTCAAAGCTGTTGGAAAAACTGCAAATACTCTTTTCTCATTTTACTCTTCTTTTACTGAAGCAATAGTCTAGAGTTCCTTGGTAATCGATGTTATATGACAGTTAATTGCTGAGCAGCTAATCCGTGAGCCAGTCTGTTTTCTGGTTCATTGGATGTTTCATCTTGCAAAATATTGGATTTGACAAATAGCACTTACCCAATTTTGCCAGTTATATAATTTCAATTATGTGATATCCACTTTTATCGTTGGAAAACAGGAAGTTATTAGATTAGCATAAGTGTATCGTTCTGTCTGTATGACACTAACAGGTGATTCGGAGAAGCTAGTTAAAGTGTTATTCGAGCTTGCTAGGCATCATGCTCCTTCAACTATATTTCTTGACGAAATTGATGCAATCATTAGTCAACGTGGTGAAGGACGCAGTGAGCATGAAGCAAGTAGGCGTTTGAAAACTGAGCTACTCATACAGGTGATATTTGGTTTGGATAGTGCATCTATGTAGATAGACACATCATATAAAAATCTAAAAAATAGCAACATCAACACTTCAGCAGTTGGATAAGTCCTACTGTCTGAAAGTAATATCTCCTCTGAAATTTGTGATTTTGTTGAATTTTGTGCCATGACTTTTTTTTATTTTCTGGGGGAGGGGACTTGAAACTTAGACCTTAAGAAGGCAGGCAAGAAGTACCATGAGACCAAAGGCAATTGGAACTGTAGATGCAATTTTGGAAATTTATGCTACTGAACTTCTTGATTCCTTTCATAATATAAGTGTAAGCCTTTAAAACTGAATTCTTTCAAAGTTCTAATTTGATCAATGCAAGTCCAACCAAAGTATTGGAATGAGACAAACTTTTATCAATAAAGCCATCCCTATCTGAATAAGAGCAATAACAAATTATAATATATATATACTAGTTGGTACACATGTGCGTTGCACGTGGATCAATTTGTTGCAATAAACAAACAACTATAATAACATATATATTGACGGAGCCCAACATTAGATGAATCCAATCATAAAATTGTCTCCATTGACAATTATAAATTGTGTAACATGCAATTGTTCTTAATATAAGCAGAAGGAGATCAAAATTTTAAAAAAATAAAAATAGCTTTGAACTTCTACCTACTTTTAAGAAGATCATTTAAGAATAACTCTTTTCTTCATTATAATGGTTGTAGAAATATAAATGTCAAGAATGACCTATGACAGAGGAATCCCCTTGACCATTTGTGTTGCTCATGTATAGGTGAACCACATGTAACTTCAAAATTCAATGTTCTTATATTAGACAAATGGCAACTCCACACAAACATGTAATTACAAGATGGTGATATGCAAGGTCATGTAATTAAAGTCATACTAAAGGATTAGAGAAGGAAAGGCCAGCTACGTTCATGATCTTTGGTATTCATTGTTTCTAATGAAAACAAAAACAAAGCACTAAATGGCAATTGTCTAACCAAAATGGTAAATTGAAGTATTGTTACATAAATATTTATCATGGGCCTTACAGTTTACATTACCCTTCATAAACAGTTAGTACTCTGCAAATATAGTTATTCCTGTGAAAGCAATACAAAAACAATTATTATAGTAATACGTTTGGACCAATAATCAGGGTAGATGATGATCGTGGTCCTAATAAGGCACCTATATTACGAAGTTATCTCACAGAGTAAAAAATATTTCCAACAATACGATCACATTGATCAATTACAACTGCTTGAAGTCACACTTAAGAACACATATATTAAGATATGAAGGCACACACACAAAAAATTCAAGCACATAAAAAAAAAATTCAAAATTTTTGAATCCAAAAAACACTTAACCGCATAGTATATCATAATCACAATAAAGAGAACCAATATATATAGTAGCTGAAAAATTATAGAAGACAAGAAAATACAAAATTTTGATGGTTTTAAATTTTGTCATTCAGTAGTTCATGCCCATTAACTCAAGTCCTAGATTTGGTAGAGTTAATATACCTATGTGACTCGATGTAGTTACTAATTCAATGTACAACTATATAGAGTAGAACTACTGCTGTCTAAAAGTAATAGGGACTTTTCAACAAATAGCGTGCTCTATGGACATAAATATAATTTTCATGTCAACTTCTAGAAACATGGCCTCCTCGAAGACGCAAAGAAGAAATGTAAATTGTATTTTACAAATGTTCTCAATTGTATATTTTGATCTCTCCAGGTGGTAGACCACTCATGATGAGAAAGCTGTGTGAATTTATCAAGAAATGGAACAAGAGTTGAGGCAGTCCAATGATTGCCACATAAAATTTGTACCTGCTATAAAACAAACTGAAGCTTAGAAGTTTCTCCACACACAGTTGCAAATAAGAACTTGTTGCAACAATCTAAACATTTTTAGTTTCTCAAACTGTGACAAAGAAACCGAGGTACCTTACACACAAATGATTTTTTTACTGCTCTCCGAGCCTTCTGCTAGTTACCCAATTGAAAAGGAGACCTCCTTATAAGTACTTAGATGTCATGAGCAAACTGGAAAACAAAATTGACTACATCATATTTTAGGAGCACAAAACTAAACAACCAAACCAAACAAATTGATTCACATCCATATTTTCCACCTTACTCTAGATATGCACTCCTATAAGCATATATTGATAACACTCCATCAACCACACATAAAAATTTGACACTTAATTTGCAGCATTCATAATTCTCTCTGAATTTCTCTCTAACCATTAATATACAAGAATAATTCAACAAATTAAAATTCATATTTCATGTCAGAAATGGCATGTTCCCTAATTCTTTTGGAATAATCATTGGAACTGATTATTACCGGAAAACATACAAAGTAGTTTGACATAGCTACAATCCAAGTACTTTGACAAAGCTAAAACCAAAACATTCGGATTTTACCTTCTTTTCTACAATAGGAATGACATCACCAGCACAAGTAGGAATGGCAACAAGTTTGGCATCAACAAAAGATGGACCACCAGAGCAACGTACATTATAATTGATAAGAGAACGTCCTCTGTAATTATGAACAATAGTAAGCTAGAAAAATTTTTGGGAGCTCTGATCACTAAACCCAAGACTCTTAAGAAGATTGTTAGATTTGGGGTGAAGAACGAGAGAGAGAGGGGCAGATAGAGAGAAAAAGGCAGAAGATTAGACTATAATTAAATCTAGAAATAGAGAGGATGAAAGACTATAATTAAATTATGATTAAAGGACGCGAGAGAGAGAGAGAGAACCAAAAGGATGACCTTCAACGTATTAATATCCAGCAATGAGATTTGATATCATTTGGTCAAATTGGCCAAAGAAAAAAATGAAAGTAATCAACAATCTCCAATACGTACCCATTATGAGTCTTAATTGCCTCAACCTAATCCACAAGTAGAACGTAATCATGTCCCCCCGAACCATAGCGGGTTCGAGAAATGACAAAATTCTGAGGATCAATACCTCCGCTTAGTGTGCGTACGGGCCGCAAAGCCAATTGGCGTCGTATATCTGTGGTGAACCCTATGAATCTTCTCGTACCCCTACTTGCAATGCAAAAATCGATAGATCCAGTAATTGATGTAATAGTTAGCAATAAAATATATCGCCAATTGCATCACAATTTCCCCCAACGACGGTAATGGCAGGCTCGTCCAAATCCCAATCATTTGCAAATTCACATGTGATTTACAAATATTGATACTAAAATCGACAATACAAGATTGAAAATGAGAAGCAATAATTGTTGCCGGAGTAATTACTTTGATTGAAGGGTATGAGACAAGTGGGAAGGGTCCGACGACGAGGATGAACATGAGCATTGCGTCTCTGTAATATTGGAAGGAATCAGAGCAGAAGAGCTTGACCTTGGGTTGGATTTTTTGTAACTAAATTACTTTAATTGAAGAAAATAGGGATAATGGACGAAGGTGTAGAACCTAGGTTGTATGGAGAAGACCTTAAATCTTCCACTAAGAAGTTGTTGGGCCTCCAACGCAGAATAAAAGATAGATGGAGAGGGGAAGGTGAAGAGAAGGTTGTGCTGATTTTTGAAAACGCAGGGAGACGAAACAAGTAACGGCTGAGAGGAAGCACTTGAGAGAGAGATTAATGATTGAAAAATAGGGAGAGAGAGAGAGAGAAGGGTGAGCTTGCTGTAAAAATGGAAAAAAATGTTTTTTAAGTATACTGACTTTTTAAAGTAGTGTATATATATATATATATATATTTTTTTTTTTTATAACAAATTATAATATATATGCTATGTAACTGAGGAACCGTACTAGCCTTATTTTTCTGGGGACCACAGCATACACCTACTTGTATGCCAGAGTGCTTTGGTGATTGACACCTACTTTACAACATTTTGTTTTGGAGAACTGGCAATAATCATTGTTTTCGTGAAATTGCTCCTCTCTCTATGGCTTCTCTTGTATTAGGCTTTGTTTATCATACTATCTTTTAAATTGGAATTGTTACTTACATCCAATCCATATGTATCACATTGAAAACATAGGTGATTTGGACAGAAATCAAGTGTGATTCGAGCTCAAACTTAATGGTTTGAATTAGATTGCAGATGGATGGTTTGACGCGGACTGATGAACTTGTTTTTGTTTTGGCGGCAACAAACCTACCTTGGGAATTGGATGCGGCCATGCTTCGTCGCCTTGAAAAGCGGGTATCCTTTTGATGGGCTATTGTGCACTTTCTAGCATATGCTGATTATAAGAAATGCATTAACAATTCCATAGATAAATCACAACTGACATGTTAAGAGTTTGAATGTATGTTAATAATGGCGAAAAAGTCACTGCATCTAGCTCAAAGTGACTAGTTGCTTGCACATGGTGGGAGTTAATTGACTCCTTGTGAATATTCTAAATGCCAAGGCAGGTCGCCTTCAAGATTTGGGTTCGGTTCCTTGCAAGCTTCACATACTTGTGGTTTGACAATTTTAGGGTTTGACTATTGTTTTATCTCATTTTTAGTTTTCTCACTTTTTTTTTTGTGTATAGTGCTGCATATTTATCCTGATGGCATTCCATACGATAAGTGAGTGCATTGCAATAAAAGTTCACTTATTACCTTGAAAAGTTCTTCTTTAAAATTAATGTAAGATCCTGGTACCCCTGCCGGAACCTGAAGCAAGAAGAGCCATGTTTGAGGAACTGTTGCCATCAGTACCTGGTGAAGATAAACTTCCATACGATTTATTGATGGAAAGGACAAATGGTTATTCAGGTTCTGATATTCGTTTGGTTTGCAAAGAGGCTGCCATGCAGCCCCTGAGACGGTTAATGGGACTTCTTGAAGAAAAGCAAGAATTGGTGCCTGAGGATGGTAAGTTAGATTATTTTTCTATTATATTATTTGTTAATACTGTATGCAATTCAAGAGTTCACAGCTCCTATTCGAAAAATGTTCTGTGGAGTCAAGCAATTTCCACAAGGTGTAAAAGGGGAAGTATAAAGTAGAAAATGCTATATATTTTACCATGAGCATGCATTTAGATATTCATATATCTAGAAATCTGTCATAATGTTTGTCATTCTTTGTACATTGCTACCTTTACATACACTAGTTGATGCATACGTGCGTCGCACGCAAGGATTAAAATATCGTTTCAGCGTATTGTTTTGGTCACCTATGAATATGAAACGAAAACGTTTCAAAAATATTTTGAAAACGTTTCGAAACATAATAGAAACAGATAAAAAATTTAAAAATTTATTTTCAAAACATTGGTCTAAATATATCTAAATATCTTGAAACACCTTGAAATATTCTAAAACATTGATAGAAACATGCTGAAACATTTCGAAACAATTCAAAATATTCCGAAATACTTCAAAACATATCGAAGTACTGAAATTTTAATTCAATCAATGATTCGTTTCTGTTGCCTTAGAAAAAAAAATGTTTTTGCCGTTTCGAAATAATATTTTGATCCTTGATCACACGTGAATAATTCATAGTAGTAATTTTCTTATTCCTGGTGATATGAGGTTTTAATTTTTAGATTTATTTTTTTTGTTGTGTAGATGTGATTTTTGTTGTTTCCATTATTGTAAAAGACATCCAAAGGCCATGAAAAATTTAAGTAATGTGAAGGAACAAATATATGATTTGTAAATAACTGATAATCTGAAAAAGATCATGAATTTGAAGTTTTTTGCGACACCAAATACAGGAAAAATGGAGTTTACACTTTTTTAAAAGAATGTTTGTACAATTGTAAAGAGAAATTTTTGACATTATTTGTATAGAGTTAAAGATCCAAATTTTAATCACTATATCGGTGACCCCTATTAAACATAAATCTTGCAAATGATTACGAAGTATATGAAAATAATATCTTGTAGTTCTGAGTCCATATTAATGTTTAGATAAAACAATCAGGAGATAATTGCACTGTTGTTGGCTTATTTGGATAGTCCTTTGGAAATTTCAATGTCAACTTGAACATACCTGGAAGCAAACAATACACATTACAACACAACCTTAAAACACTATAGATCCAAAATTGAAAGGCAGAAAAAGTTTGGCAAAAAACAATTCACATCCTTGTACTATTCGATTAACTTTTTCATTGGAACACAATGCAGGTCAATGTGTCACTGTCTTTGAAATGCTAAAAATTTTCAACTATTAATGTCTAACATATCACAAGTTAATGTTAAGAAGTGTCATATAGTAGTATCTTCACAACAATCTAGTCATGGCAAACATTAAGAAAAGAAAGTCACCTAGTGCTACAATGTTAGGAAGACATATTCTTTCAGAATCATACAAATGGGAGGTCCTCAATATGGGTATGCTCCTTCCTGCCCTAACCAAGGTGGGTGGCCCAAAGCCATTAAATTCAAAAAAGGAGTTCCTAGAATCTAATTTGGCCTTTGCTTAAAAAGGATCACATTTCTTTGTCATACCCACTTCTTGGTTTATGCTCAAACCCACAAATGTTTTCCAGTAACAACATCTCGAGAATGACCTTTAAATCTTCATTGAACAATTCAACAAGTTTCTCCCAAAGATACTAAAAGATCGTGTCAAAGAATACTAAACTTTTTACCTATACATTTTATAGAATCTATAAACCATTAACAGAAGCCATTCTCACATGAATTCGCTATCAATAGTGCCTTATCCAAACACCTTGCAATAAACAAACCAACTATTACCCTAACAAACTGTGCCTTCTTTTAAGTTTTACCCTTCAAACAAACTCAGAACTGCCGTTGACACAGTTCAAAATATTGCATAAACTCAAAGACCATATGGTAAAACTTCACAAACGACAAACCAACTAAAGCCACCACTTCTTTTTGATTACTAAGGTCCCTCTCAACAGATCACCAATCCTCCAAACCTAATTAAGAAAAAGAAATATAAAATGAAGATGCCATCATTACCTCTAGTGTTTGGCCTCCGGCCCTCCACGAGTTTCACCTGTTCAAAAAATAATTCATAACTAATACTTATTGTAGCTAATATTAACCTATAACTATCACATGCAATTTAGAGAAAAAAAAACAGGATGTGGTTATTTTTGAGTCTAGGACCCTTCGTATTTCATAGTTCAACATGAAGCAAAAACATGATGCGGTACCAAAAAATTGATGTGGCTGATTAGAATTCTTTAGGATTAGTGCCTACTATAAGAAATTGAAGATCAACATATTTAAATGGTTACTATAACGTAAGCAACTAAAAATAATGGGAGATAAACTCAAAATAGATACTACCAATGATAGCGATGCACATCCATTGTGATATATCTATATACATCTAAACAAAGTCTCTAATCTGAAGTTGCATTGGTAATGGTCAAATAACTTTCTCAAATTCTTGGACATTAAATGGAAATTTTGAAAAGAGCCGTGACTGATGGGGTGGCTGAAAATAGGACCATAAATGACACTAACCTCTCGTCAATAAATGATGGGGTCGTTGAAGAAAATCAGCTAGGCCTTCATCTACAGCAATATGATGTTCAACTAATGTGAGTGCGATTGCTCTTTTTTTTTTTTTGATGAACCAAAAAGACGGACTAATCATACCTCCTAGCAAAAGATGATAGATGCAGAGACAGTATGAAAGCATTGAGGTGCAACACAAAACAATTCACAAAAAGAATCCCCTTAATTGAAAATGAGAATTCCCTAAAACATGATTACATGTTGGACATATAAAGTCATTCAAATGCTGAGTTAAATTATCTTGATAGTACTTACTACTAAGTATTGATTGAAATAACAAAAAAGCTGATTAATTGAGCTTGTGACATGTCATACAAGGATGATTGAGTTCAAATTTATCTCTAATGCGTTTCAGCTTTTCCCACCAACTGATCGAAGGGTCAGGGCTTTCTTTAATCCCAAGTGCTTCTCAAGCAGCTCTGTCGTATCCTTGCTCCTGCCATTCTCATGTTACATGTCCTCTGAACCTACAATTTCCCTTCGAATTTGTTTCATTACCATCTTACAATTATCAAATGTTTCTAGTTCTACTAACTGGCTGCACACTGGCAAAATAGCTCATAAAACCTTTGATAATCATATCAGTGGTATCTACCAATTCAAACGCATATCACACCCAGTTAAACTGCAAGCATTCACCCTTTCCTACAAATAAAGTGATTATGTATAATCAATATAATAATATGAGCATATGCATGTGCGTGACCAAATAACAAAACCCAACAATTCACAAATCCAAACGACAAAATGCATATTAATATGTAACAAATAACCCTCAACAAATGCATATATGTACATCTGAAAAAAGCCGAGAGGCCCTAAGTGAGGATTTGAGCTCTTTCAAGGTTTTCCAGTAATTTGGTTTTGACTTCCCTCATAGAACATTGTCGAGGAGGTTTTCCAGCCAGCTATCACTGAATCTCTGAAACATATGGATCTAAAAACGAATCAAGGGCAATTGAAGAGTCTGCAACACTCTTGAGAGAGAGATAGGCCGACGGTGAGAGTGAGAATTTAAAACTTGTTATGGATATGAATAAAAGTACAGTTAAATTATTCAGGGAATGTATAAGGTTTGAAGGATAAGAGTTACATTATATTATTGATCACAGTTGAATTAGGCAATCAGAAGTTTTTACCAATAGACAAGTTGTACCTTCCTCTGCCAATCCCAACAAACCCTTGTTTGGAAAGTCCACATTCAATGGCGTGATTGTCGGAAAATCTTTGACAGGAAGAAGAAGCTGCCACATAACATGGATACAAAGATGAAATTAGACAGGGCAAAATTAAGAAGAGGAAGAAGAAAGAAAGGACAGAAAGTAGGTAGTTTTTCTGGGGGGTGGGACTAAGCTTAAGAAGATGACTCAACCCGTTATTCCTGGTGATAGAATTGAGAGAGAGAGAGAGAGAAATAGGGGAGGAGGAAAGAAATAAAACGAAAGGGCAGAAAGTGAAGACTCTTTAGTGAACATGGTTGGTTGCGAACATGCATCTTTTAGTTTCTCTGACCAACAATTTAGTGGGATGGTGGAAGATGAAAAATGTATTATAAATAGCATTTATAGATTCTTAGGATGTGTCGCATTTTATTTTTATGCTTTTTCAAGGGTAATAAGAGAAATTAAAAGTTTCTCATACTTCTTGACATTTAAAAGTAGTATAGAACTATAGATATAGATATATTCATTTAAGGCAAGAATAGTGTCTGTTGTTTTATCGTTTATATTCTCTTTTGGCAAGTTTGTACTGTTTGTATTCACTCTTGTTTGTTGGTGAAATAATCTGTGTTTTTGTTATAAATAATGGTTACTAGCGGTCTTCCCGTGCTATGCATGAAATTTACAATCTCTCTTCACCGCCACCCCTTATTCCAGCCCCACCCCCACCCCCACCATCACCCCTACCTTCCACTCTCACCCCATGCCAATACGACAAGAAGGATATTTATTTATGTACTAAACTTATATTTTAAAATTGTCTAAATTTGTAGTTAATAAAAGCAGTGAAAAATTCAAATGTGAAGTAGTTACACAAAAAATTGTAGTAGTTACACAAAATTGTTGAAGTTACATAGGCAACATTGAAGAATTCAATTAGAGGAAACCTATTCATTACTATTAAATAATTCAAAATTAGGAGAAAACAGGATTTATAGAGGAAAAGCTGCTCATATCCCCTCTCTCATAAATTAATTCTTTTTGTACATAGTATAGATATTCTTTAGCGGTAAGTTTGTTTGCATTTACTCTTGTTCGTTGGTGAATTAATCTCTGTTCTTGTTATAAATAGTGGTTAATATTTTTAACTTATCATTTGCACTGTTGTTCGTTAGTGCTGTCAGCAATTGCATCTTTGTCTCTCTCTCTCTCTCCCTCTCCCTCGCACTTGCACACTCCCCAAAATGTTTTATTTTCCTTTGTGGCCCTTCTTTTGACGCTTCTCTTTACTTCTCTCCTGTTGTACATGGATGTATTTGCATTCATATTTGGTAGTCTTTATATTATAGTAATTCTTGGCTTCTGGCTGATATGGACCACAATGGCTTTAGGGTTGGTTTTCAATTCGTTCCCCCTTTAGAGTGGACTTCTGTTTCAGGTTCTACAAAATTTAGCATCTTCTATGCTTCTAAATAGCCCAATATTTACCTACCTTGTCAGCCACAGGTCACACTATAGTCTGCCCCTAGAGATCTCTTTCTTCTACAGCCCATTCGAAATTGCACCTCTCGTACTTTGCTAACTCAATTTCCTCTGCATGCAAGCATTGTTTGCATTACTTCAGATGCATTCATCGCGGTTTATGCACCCATAGTTTTCTGTATGTTTCCTGAAGAGGAAAACACCTCACTGTCTTTTAAGATAGCTAGGCAATTGAACAAATTTATCCAACAAATGTCCAGGCAATGTACTTTCCTCCAATACTGGGAGCTATATCATTTTGTTAAGTACTAATTTTGAATCTTTGATGCTGTACTAAACTGGGGTCATTGGCATGCAGAGTTGCCAAAGGTCGGACCAATTACAGATGAAGACATAGAGGTGGCTTTAAAGAACACAAGGCCCTCTGCTCATCTTCATGCTCATCGTTATGACAAGTTTAACGCAGATTA